CAGGAAGATCAGAATTTCAAGGTTATCCTCTGCTACATAGTGAGTTTGAGACTAGCCTGAGTTACATGAGACCTTGTTTCAAAAAAAAGTAGCAATTGGTGTACTTATGCATGCTCAGAGATCAGAAGAGGGTGTTGAATCCTTCATATGTAGACTTCCAGGTGTTTTCAGAACACCCCGTTTGTTACATGGGTCTAGAATCTGAATGCCAGTCCTCATGAGTACCCTGTAAGGACCCGTCCACAGTTGAGCCATCCCTCCAACCTGATCATGGTAGGTTTAACAGAATTGGACCCTTGCCTTGTTTAATTGGGCATCAGAGCTACAATGTATTTAGTCTAGTAAAGAAGCAGACAAGATGACTTTGACTTTCATAGGCCTTCCCAGATTCTGGAGGTTTTCTGTTAATTTACCGCACTAGATTGTAAAACATTTCATTAACTTTTATTTTTGGTTTTGCAGAAGAGTCTATGAATATGTACTGTTCATTGCCTTGCTAGATTTTGACGAGTTCCTTTCCGCAGCTCTTTCATCGTCCATCCAGGTCACATTACCGCCAAACAGGAGGATGTGATTGGCACATCCTCAGTGTCTTTTTAAAAAGTTTTAATTTTAGCTGGGTGGTGGTGGCGAATGCTTTTAATCCTAGCACTTGAGAGAAAGAGGCAGGGGGTTCTCTGAGTCTGAGGCCAGCTTGGTTTACAGGGTAGCCAGGGATACACAGAGAAACCCTGTCTTGAAAAAAAAAACAAACCCAAAAAATTAATTTTTATTATTAATTATGTGTACGTGAATGTTTTTATGTGGGGATGCCTGCAGGGGCTAGAGGTGTTGGATCCTCTTGGAACTGGAGTTAGAGGTAGTTGTGAGCTGCCTGATGTGGGAATGAACTCTGGTCCTCTGGAAGAGCAGTGCATGACCTCTTAACCCCTGAGCTATCTCTCCAGCCTCATCCTCTGTGTCTTTAACTCAGGTCATCAGGCTTGCATTAGATGCTTTTACCTGCTGACATTTCACTGTTCCCAGTCTTGCTATATTCAGGCTGGCCTTGTACTTACTATATTGCTGAGGCTGGCCTTGAATTTCCCGATCCTCCTGCTTCCACCTCTTGAGTTCTTAGATAACAGTCATGTGCTACCATGCTTAACTTCCTGATCTATAGTCTTTGAGGCATACCTCGAAATGGAATTTATTAATTTACTTTTTTTTTTGATAATGGAGTAAAACCCAGATGAGCCACATCTGTAACCTGATAATACTTTTAACCTTTTGAATAATAACTTTATTTTTTTGAGACAGGGTCTCACTGTATAGCCCTGACTAGGCTAGAACTCACTATGTAGACCAGGCTGGCCTCAAATTTGGAAAGATCTGCCTGTCTCTGCCTCCCTGCTATTACTCAGGCCACATACACAGAGCACTGAAGATAGCAATAGGCTGAGGATAAGTAGGAGGTACACCGAGCTAGATAGGGCCTCACAGTGTTTGAGGTTTAATTATATTCTGCTGCTAGAAAGGAAGAATTATTTCCCAGGGGCTCCACAAAGTCACTTTGAGTTGGTCTTTACCCAACATATAGGGTGTTTGTTCTGGACATCCCTGGAAGGTCCACAGTCCTATCCACAGAGATGCCACTGCTCAGCCCTTCACAAGCAGAAGGAAAGTGTTGCCGCTTGGTCTTGACCAGCCACATACCTTTATGTGTATCTTATACTGACTCAGTGTCACCGGAAAGGCCCAGCTCAGTGAGAAAAGTATATGCCAGCACCCCCTTACTGCTGCAGGTTGGCTCAGGAATATTCCTGTGCCTCCGATGAAGTGAGCCCCAGTACTGATGGCTCTCCGTTACATATGGAGCTTTGTGTAAGTCTCCTGCTGGACCTGCTTTGCTGTGATTAGGAGGGAGTTGAGCCATACCACGTGTTCCTGGACTGTGTGTGTGTGGTTTTATGGCTAGGTGATTTGCCCCATAATTGTTGTGAAATGGAAGATAATTTATAGTAAGTGTATCTGCCTAAGGCAATAAGCCTGTTTAAAGGATTAGCTTGATGGCTTATGCAGGGCTTGCAGATCTATCCCTTTGGGACTTTTGGGGCCAAGGCAGGTTGAAAGAGGTCAAGGCCCCACTGACAGGCACTAGCAGGTCTTCTTGGGTACAGAGCACTACTGCCAGGTATTCTGGATTCTGGTGTTCATCGTGATTACCAGGTGAGATAGCTGCCCTGCCTGTGTCTGTAGCTGCATGTCTGACTGGAGGCCTGTGCCCTCATTGAGGCTTTTACTGCAGTCTGTTACTCTGCTACACAGGTCTCTGCCTTCCTCACCTTGCCCACCAGATATAAACCTTTCTTCACCTTTTCTGTAGGTGACAAGGCTCTTGATGGCTACAGTAAAAAGAAGTATGTCTGCAAGTTGCTCTTCATCTTTCTCCTTGGTCATGACATTGACTTTGGACACATGGAAGCTGTGAATCTTCTGAGCTCAAACAGATACACGGAAAAGCAGATTGTGAGTATGATCGAGGAGCAGGGTTGTGTGCCCTGTGTGCAGTTTGCAGACTCTCCTCCTTCACTCTGTTCCATATTGAGTACTAACCACCTGTGTTTCTGGCCTTTGTTACTGCCTGGTGCTGGTACCTAGCAGCCATACCCATTCCAACTTAGTTCTTTGCTTCTAGGGGGCAGTGGTGCCAAGGATGGACTTCGGTGGGGTGGCCTTCTTCCTGCTGCTCTCTGGCTTAGATTGGTAGATTCTCTGTGCTCACACCCCTGTGTCTGCTGCCTACACGTCTCATTTCCTTTTCACAGGACCTTGGTAGTGAGTACAGTGCCAGCAGTGACTTTACTGCATGGCCTTTTACATGACTGTCTGAACAGGATCTGTGCCCACAGAGGCAAGAAATAAAGCCATATGGGGCTGGAGGGATGGCTCAGAGGTTAAGAGCACTGGCTGTTCTACCAGAGGTCCTGAGTTCAATTCCCAGCAACCACATGGTGGTTCACAACCATCTGTAATGATATCTGGTGCCCTTTCTGCCATACAGGCATACAGGCATACATGCAGACAGAACACTGTATATGTAATAAGTAAATAAATCATAAAAAAAAAATAAAACTGTTAAAAAAGAAAGCCATAGACGGTGCTGCCCTTCCTCCTCTCCCCTGCACCTGCAGAGGGTGAGGCCCTGTTGTGCAGGCTGCTCAGACTTGCTTAGGCTTGGTGTTTCAGCTCTACATTCTTTTGTATGTAGTGAGGCTGTTTGTGTTTCAATTAATAGCTTTCTCTTTTGCTTAAAAATTTAACTTAACAGAAATTAAAAAAAAAAAAAGCCAAATGTCTTAGGATTTTCGTTAAGGAAATTAGCCTTCACATCTTCACCTGTGACAGGTTGGTGATGTGAGACTGGGTGTGAACAAGTAGTGGAGTAACAATGGGGATAAACTTGAGAGGAGGGAGAGCAGTAAACTGGGTTTCTGGACAGACTGTGTGTTTATTAGCGAAGGTGCCAGGCTTGGTTCTTGCAGTGACAGCCCCTCCCATTGACCTGAGGATGCTGTGGCATCTGGACACAGATGTGTGAGCTACTGAGAGGGAAGTGAGGCTTGGGAAGGACCGAGTGGTCAGGTTTCCTTGTGCCTCTCACAATGCACACATTTCAGTGGGAATGTTGCATCAGGGCTGGATGGTAGCAAAAGTGTTGTTCACTGGTATATTATCTGAACGTGGGCCGTCTTCAGGGACCAGACTCTGTGGCACCCATTGGGATGGCACTTGAGGCTTTCCAGGCTTGCTTATATGCGCATTGTGTGTTAGGCTTCTTGTCATAAGCTTTTTGTCCCTGCCTTCTGGGAATACAGGGCTACCTTTTCATCTCTGTATTGGTGAACTCGAACAGCGAACTGATCCGCCTGATTAACAATGCCATCAAGAATGACCTGGCCAGCCGCAACCCCACATTTATGGGCCTGGCCCTGCACTGCATTGCCAATGTGGGTAGCCGTGAGATGGCAGAGGCCTTCGCTGGAGAGATCCCCAAGATCCTCGTAGCAGGGTATGTATCTGGGTGCTGTTGACAGACAGCATGCTCTTCCTAAGCACACTCCACTATGTGTAGTGTGGGATGTCACAAAGTCCTAGTATGGAGCTCAGAGGCACCACCAGATTCTCCTCCTGAGACCACTGAGATAGCAGATCCTAGAAGAAAGCCCTTCTTAGCCCCCCAGCCCAGAAAGGACTCCAGCCTTGCATGGACTCCAGGGAGAAAGAAACAAAGGTGTTTGGCATAGCCCTGAATCTTATCCCTTCCCAGAAGTATTGGGGCAAAGGCCAAGCCCTTGTATCTTGAGAATTTGAATCATCTCTTCCCTCAAGTGGTGCCAAGGGGCTGCTCTGGAAGAGTTTGAAGCAGCCCTGGGCTGTTTTGGGCCTCAAGGTTGGCAGAGGCAAGTCTAGCTTCTGCCTGGTCACATGCTTTATGCTGTTGTCTAGCCAATCAATAGACATAGTAGTTACATTCATCATGGTCCAGGAGACAGGATAGGATAGTTGTTAGTGAATTGAAAAGGGTATCAAGGCCCTGGGAGATGTGGCCACACCCCTCTGCTGCCTATGAAGCTGGCGTATAGGTAGGGGGTCCCAGAGGTCAGGGCTAGCCCACATTCTCTACTTACTCAGCTATCTGAGGGGAAATGGATGGGGCTGGCACTGAACAAAGACTCAGAGCATTCACCATTTTCATAGTGGAGGGCCTACTTCTGTTACTAGTAGGCAGAGAGGAAAGATGTTACTAAATGTCCTGTGTATGGCACAGACACAAAGTAGAGAACAGTGCAGGCCTCTGTCACTGTCCTGTGGTGTAGGAGCTTTAAACCAGCCTTGGCACCTCAACCCTGAGTATTGGGAAGCACAGGAGTAGAGGAGCCAGGCTGGAGAGAACCATTCTGTGGAGATGTAGGTGTGGACCACAGGAGATTGATGAAGACAAGCATTACAGAACGGAGTTGCATTGGGAACTTGAAGGTTTATTACTATAGACTGTAAGCAGAAATAATAGAGAACACCAGGGCACTCGAGGTAGGAGGTCACAGTGGGTGTTGGGGTAGAGGAAAGGCTAGAGTTCAGACCAGAGAGAAAGGGAGTTGGGCAGACTGCAAGTGTGAGCTGCTAGCAAGGCCTCCCTGGCCTTCTTCCCTAATAGTCACCATGGAGTCCTGTGGACAGGACACCCGAGTGTTGCCTGCTGTGCTCCTGAGGGCTTCTGGCTTGGATGCCTCTGTTATGTTGCTGCCTTCTGGCACTGCCTCCGGGCTGTTCCAGTGGAGGAGGCGCAGACAGGGCAAGCCTTGAAAACCAACCATTGGAGGAACAGACATATTTCCTGAAATACGCAAGAGCACTTGCAGAGTGATCACAAGGCCCAATGCTGAGTCAAGGTTCTTTAGCAGAAGACAGGTGGTGCCTCCCAGTTGGAGAATGTCGGGCTGTAGGGACAGTTCATAGGCTAAGCTTACCATGGCACCTTACCGTGAGATGGGAGGTGGCATTGGTGCTCTGGGATACAGTAGAGGATCAGAAAGAATGCCTTTGACAGGCGGGAGCTGCGCTGGGCTCAGTGGGTATATGAGGATGTTCTGTGTCTTACCTCTGAGCTGGCAGGTACTTGCTCCTTTCTTTTGAGCTTTCTGGGAACAAGGGGAGATGGTCTCCCGGTTCAGCATCCTGGTTGAACATGTAGAAACAAACATAGTTCTTGTTGCACAGACCCTGCAGTTATAGCCTACAGTGAGGGCACCTGCAGTGGCTCCCATGGGATTGATATGAGGCCAGAATGAGGCATGGGCCTGCTCTTCTCCCCGTGGGATGAGTATCTAAAAGAACTTTCAGCCTAGGCTGCAACTTAGCGGCGAGCATTTATCTAGTACGTGTGAAACCCTAGTTTCCATTCCCAGCATTATACAGAAAGCAAAATTATTCACAGTATAATTTTCTTCATTGGAATAGTCCTGGGGAGATTTAAAAGGTTTTCTATTCATCTGGGAATAAAAATCCAGTAACTAAAAAAAGTGGACTGAGCTAGAGTTCACAGGCCCTTCTCTTCCTTCTCATCAAAGCCACAGATCCACCTCAGTCATAAAGACTCCAGCTGGTTCTTACGGGATGTTCTGACCAACCGCCTCCTCCAGCTGGCTTGACCAGCCTGTTTGTTTTCCTACTGCTTGGTGGTTGTTTGACTGTCTTTGAGAGAGGGTCTCAGTATGTAGTCCTGTTTGGCCTGGAACTCAGAGATCCTTCTGCCTCTGCCTCCTGAGTGCTAAGACTGGAGACATGTCACTACACCTGGCCTCTTTACTACTTCTTGGCAGGGCCTGGTAGGGTGAAGGGGAGTTCCCAGAGCTCCTGTCTTCCCAGAGCAGAAAACAGTTGCCTCTGCTTGGTGTCTGCACCCACTTACAACTTTTGTTTTGGCCTGGGTGGCCTTTGAGGGAGTAGAGAGAGGGCGACACTCCCTGACACCAGAGGCTGCCTCAGGCCCTCGCATGCAGTGTGTCTGGAAGGTAGCAGCTGTGTGTCAGGTGTGTCAGGTGAGGGAGCACAACAGCTGCATGCCAATGCTGAAGTGAGGCTGCAGCCGGGCCAGGCCACTGTGCTTTCTCTTAAGATTGTCTTAGATTTGGGCATGACGACGTATACTTGTAATCTTAGCACTCAGGAGATTGAGACAGGGGAATCTTGAGTTTGAGGTAGTGTAGGATACACAATGACACCCTGCACCAAACAACAGCAAAAATCCAAAGCAAAAGAAAAAGAGACTCCACTTCCTCACCAGGACAAGACAACTTCAGCCTGCTTCCTCAGAGTAGGGGAGCAGGGTGAAGTGTGGGGATCAGGACACATTTTGTAGAAACCACTCTGGTATTTCAGGTCTCCAATCTGTTCTTGCTGTAACAAATTGGGGGGGGCAGGTGGGTTGTCCTGTGGTTCAGAGAAGAGCATCATAGACATGGCTGGCCTCCGTTGTCTATCTTGTGTATTCAGGGTCCAGGAAGGGATGAGAGTTGAAGCCTTTGGAGGTCAAAGAGCAAACAGTGCAGGCTTTTGTCTGTGGGCTGGTGTCGTGCTTGAACTTTGTCCTTCCGAGTGACCTGTGCAGGGCTGGCATGTTGAGCTGTACGCCCTCTTGACCCACTAGTCTCCTGGTAAACCTGATATCCTCTCTACGCAGCTCCATGCTCTGCTTGGCTTAACTTGTGGTACCCTGAGAGGCTGCCATTCTCCTGAGTGACTGATGATGTCTGTTTTCCAGAGACACTATGGATAGTGTGAAGCAGAGTGCAGCTCTTTGCTTGTTGCGTCTATACAGGACATCACCTGACCTAGTTCCTATGGGTGACTGGACATCCCGAGTGGTACACCTCCTCAATGACCAGCACTTGGTAAGTGTCTGTGTTTCATTCCACTCTTAGCCATCTAGTAACCTTTTCAGAAGAGCGCTGTAGAATTGGCCTTTTGAGACTCTCAGGATGATGAAGGTCTCCTCTGCAGCTAGACACATAGGCTGCCAGCCTCTCCCTGCAGCAAGGCATTCTCCAGGGATTCCATCTATTCAGGGTGATTCCCATTCAGCGTCTGTGTCCTTATAAGCTGCTTGTGTGGGACTGTGATGGGTGTGTTCCACCTCTTGGTGAAGCTTCAGCGTGCCAGTATTACTAAATTACCCACTTTATAGAAGAGGACTGGAGGTTTGTAATGGTGACTATGGCTGCTCAGCTGGATGGGAAACAGCTGTGGGCCATGGCCTCTGCTGCTTGGACTGCTGAGCAAGTGAGTCTAATGGGGTCAGGCAAGTGTGTTTGCTAGTTACTTTCCCCCCAGGAAGATCTGCTGTGAAGTTAAAGATTGTTGCATGAACATTCAGAGGACAGTAGATGGGGCTTGCATTGGACATTTTACTGTGTAATGGCGGCCGTTCAAGCTGTCCTTGTGTTGTGACTTCTTGTGCTTGTTGAGAGAGGAGTTGAGTAGATCTTGAAGGGAGTTCAGAGAAGGCAAGGGCCCTGGAGGTGAGCCAGTAATGCTGCTTTGTGAGTGGGCCCTGAGCACTGGTGCAGATAGCTTAGACCCCGCAGGTTTGAGTATCATCTGGGGTCAGAAGATGTTGCTGGAGGCCATCAACTGTGCCAGCTAAATGGTAGTTCATCATCAGTAGACTTGGTAAATTGTAAACAGTGGGAATTTCCCAGTTTTTTTTTTTTTTTTTTTTTTTTTTTTTTTTTTCTCGAGACAGGATTTCTCTGTGTAGCCTTGGCTGTCCTGGAACTCTCTCAGAATGGCCTTGAACTCACAGAGAGCTGCCTGCCTCTGCCTCCTGGGTTCTGGGATTAAAGGTGTTCGCCACTACTACCAGGTAGGAATTTCTCAGTCTTACAGCCGAGGAAACCAAGGCTCAGAAAGATTAAGATTCTTGTAGCCATAGTGGTCCAGACTTAAACCAGCTTTTCAGAGGCTGTGAGAGTCAGGTGTCATGCCTTGGTGCAGGTGAGCCAGCTGTGAAGAGCACTGAGCAGCATTTACTCTGGTAAGATGTCAGATGCTTTCGTATAGCTTGGTGACCTCTTCTGAGAACAGTGTATAATCCCAAGGCCAAGGATCTGCAGGTGAGATCAAGACCACACAGAGGCCTCTCAGTAGAGGGATATACTGGTAAGGAGGCAGGGGTCAGCCCTGATGACCCCTAAGGGTGGTGAGATGGAACAGATGACTTAGAGCTATGAGGTCTGAATGGCCATCTGGGGAAGAGATTTGAAGAGGGAGCAAAAAGCCAGGGTTGCCCTATATCCACATGAGGCCAGGGGATACTTGAGGACCATGTGTTTGCATATGGCAGTGTGCTTCTTGTTTTTAGCTTCCTGTGAGATCATAGAAGAACAAACCGTGATGTGAAGAGAAGTTGAGTCAGTGGCCAATAGTTAGGTGTTTGCACATAGCTTGAGTAGCTGTATTTCTTATGAATTTGGCCTATTCCAAAAGCTAGGAATCCTGAAGTACCTGACTGTTGCATGAATCCTAAATGGTTTTTATAAAAACCCGGAGCCAGATACCTGGGGTAAATAATAAAATATCAGAGCAAGCCATAGCCACTCCTCAGCCAAAAGGGGAAGATCCTATCTCCATGAATCTTCAGACTGAATACCCTAAGTCCTCAGCTGGAAGGGGGACGAGCTCCCACCTTATATTCCTTTCTCTGCCCAGCCATATCACTTCCTGTCTCAACTTTCCCAAGTACTGGGATTAAAGGTGTGAGCCATCACCACCTGGCTCTGTTTCTCTTTTAGACTGGATTAATCTCGTATAGTCCAGGGTGGCCTTGAACTCACAGAGATCGGTCTGCCTCTGCCTCCCAAGTGCTAGGATTAAAGGTGTCACCACTGCCTGGCCTCTGGCTAACTCTGTGGCTGGCCCCATCCTCTGCTCTTCAGACAAGCTTTATTTGTTAGAGGATATACAAAATATCACACCTGCCTCCTAACCTGATGGAATTTACTTTTGTTTTTGAACCAGTGTCTTGCTATATAGCTTGGACTGACCTTAAACAAACATTTCTTCCTCTTTCTCTGAAGTGCTATGATTACAGGTGTGCCATACTGCCAGGCTAGAGATTTCTTAACCAAAATCTTTCAAGAGATAATGTACTAGAAATGGCTATTTGTTTTCCTGGGACAGTGGTAGACCTAAGGCCTTGTGGGGGAACTGCCATTCTGCACTGGGGTTTCAGCTCCTCCAATCTGAGTCCGTAGGGTGTGGGGACTCTGCAGGGGAGCAGTCTTCAGCCCTGGGTCCGGGACCTATCCAAGTTAAGATACAGCAGGACTGTGAAAATTCAAGTGAGTTGGAAGGTTCTGTCTCCCACTACAGTGGGCACAGTGATTTAAATGAAAAGCATCTGGAACAGATGGGGACAGAGGCACACAGGTGACAAACAGAATAGGGCTCACAGGCTTTCCAGTTGCAGCCCTGCTTCACCTGCAAGTACCTGGGCCAAGCTGGACTAGATTGCCAGTCTCCAGAGAGAAGGTGGACCCAGAAGGAGCCAGTTCGCCCTGCCTCAGTTTTGCAAACCTCATGGGGCAGTCAGGGCAGGCCTGGGGCTCGCTCAGGTGGCTGTGTACCGTAGATTGTACTTATATGTACTGTTACCTGTGGTGCCTGTGGGCCTCCTGATTGGAGTTTTTGTCTTTCAGGGTGTAGTGACTGCTGCAACTAGCCTCATTACCACACTGGCCCAGAAGAATCCCGAGGAGTTCAAGACTTCTGTCTCCCTAGCCGTCTCTCGACTGAGCAGAGTAAGTCCATGGTGGGGACAGACACACAGCAGGGGATCTTGATCTTCATTGCTTGACTGAAGTATTTCTTTATGCTTTAGAATGCAGGATCTTTGGCCCAGTTTGTAAATTCCAGGATAAAAATTATCTCTGCCAGTTCTTGATGTTTCTTTCTCTGTTAGTTGAGAAGCACCCTGCCCTATTCAGTGTGGGGGGCAGCTGCCAGTGGCAAGCATTCTCCTGTCCCCTCTCCTAAACAGGAGAGCCTGTTAGCTGGTGTACTCCCTACCCACCTTCACTGTAGCTAGGACTGGCCCTGGCTTTTTTTTTTTTTTTTTGGTTTTTCGAGACAGGGTTTCTCTGTGTAGCTTTGTGCCTTTCCTGGAACTCACTTGGGTA